AAGCTTCTTTGTGCGACATCGCAGGAAGGATCTCACGAATCTCCGAGCCCAAGAGACTGCGGCAGAGCTCATGCTGCGAAATCCACTTCGGGATCTTTTTTGAGGGGCGAGAGCAGGGGGTCTTTTGAGGGGCGAGAGCAGGGGATCTGTCGGCAATCGCGGCCACCGCGGGGGCGCGGTCCGAGGGGGCGTTCGCCTTTGCTGCAAGACCAACAGCGTTGACCGCGACGGAGGTATCCCGGAATCGAGGCGGGGGGGCCGGTGCAGTTCCTGTCCAAACGAGCGGACCCACGAATCGTTCCCTCATCGACATCGCGCCGCGTGGGATCAGGCTGGCACAGCTCGGCCCAGGGCCCGCGCCTAGCGGCGAACGCGTCCGACAGAAATCTGCCACCCGCCATCAACAACCCATCGGTGCGGAGACGACCCTCCGCTGCCTCCATGAAACCCCGATCCCCAGCAATGAGGCAATGAGTAAAGGCATGGCGAGGGAGAAAGGGCTGGGCGCGATCGGGGCACCTGGGATTAATTTCAATATGCTCCCAAGTGGTCGGCATACGCACGTTGACGATGCACGAGTCACCGCGAGGGCCCTTCAGGAAGCAAACCAATATTCTGCCAGGAACAATAATTCTCGAATCACACTCGCTGAACTGAGCAACGAGCGGCTGGGTAGAACTGCGACAATCCCTCCGCCGAGCCCAGGGCCCAAGAGAGAAGAATGCAACGCCGAGTCGCGACACCGATCATCCCGTGCAATCGTCTCGACACCCGCTGTAGTCCCATGGGCATCTTGCAGGCGAGCCGCACCAAACTTGCCGCGGATATTGGAGAGCTGTTGGTGTCGACGACGAGCATGGACCGAGGCATTGAAGTAGGACGAGAAAAGAGCGTGCGCGTTCCAAGTACAGACAGACACCGGGGCACAGGGGGCGAAAACCCCACTCGCGCCACAAGATGGGCCAGGCGGCAAAAAAGACCCAGCAGGAGAGGAATTGAAACGAGAAGCTGGCCGGGCCACGCCCCGCGGCAGAGGTGACGCGCTGCCCCTAGGCCCCGCCCTCAAGGCGGTTTCCCAAACTGAAGCGCCAGAGGCCCCAGACGGCAAGGATGCGACAGCCATGGGATTCATGCAAGGGTGCCTCGGGCAACTGGGGGCCCCATAAAGGGGCGAATTTGAAATAACAGCGTGCGGATTGAGCCCTCGTGCTCACTCTTCCCGAACATAGCTAGACCCTCCCTGCCGAAGACGAGTTCAGCTGCCCCAGAATATGATGCCAATATCTTGGCCAAAACCACCATGGGGACCATCGAGAGCGTAAATCTGACCGCCGAGCCCTTTACTGCCAACCTTAAAACCACTGATGACCTTCGAGATTATGGCGCGAGACTGACCGAAGTAGTAGAAGAGCTTCCGACTCTGAGAGGGGAGGTCCCTTCGCACCCTGAGCTCCCACTGGACCTGGTCAATGGGCTAATGAACAAGAAGTTCCCCGACCGACAGAGCTTTCCCAAATAATGCAGAACACGCCGTTGTACCGGGGAAGTCTCACATCACCTTACGTGCCAGGGTATAGGCACGAACGATCGGTTCTTCTCCTTGTGGGATGCACGGAGTGACGATCGGTGCCACCGCGGCACGCAGGGACGCCTCCATCAAAGGCGTCTGGGATCCGAGGACAATGGGACGAGTCACGCTACCTTGGTCAGGCACACTGTTGCGAACCATCCTGCGCCGGATGATGTCAGCATCACTTTCATCAGGCATCATCACGTCCGAAAAGGCACGGGTCCACCAGTCGAGTTGATCACGAAGGGGCTCCATATCAGCTCCAATCTTCTCCACACACACGCACACACTGCTCGAAATTCGCCATCCTGCTCGGGAACCACCTGGTGGCTTCATCCTGGAGACACTCGAGTTCTGCAAACCTTCCGTTCGTGGTCTTCTGAAGTACTATGAACCCACCCGGCATTTTCACGAAATCAGACTGCATACTCTGGACCTGGGAACAGTAGGATGAGAGCTCCGAGGCCGTCTGGGAGAAACCTTCCTTCAGTGAGACCTGAGATCTGCTCACTCTGGTTGACGGGCGAAACCATCGATTCCTCAGTAGCTGGGTGCGTGGGCGGGTTCCTCTCGCGTGCAAGCCGTGGAGACGAGAAAGGAAGGGGAGTCCTGGGAGTCGATTGGGATGGTCACAGGCCCTGCAACAGGCGGCGGAGCTGTGGCGCCGGCGCTCAGCAAGGCGGGGACACCAGCCATCGCGCCCGAGGGAGAGGAGGGCCAGAGAGCGCGGCGTGCGGCGAGGCCCGAGAGAGCGAGGGGCGGGAGGCCTAGGGGCAGGGGGAGCGGAGCGTCCCAGATCGCGCAGATCACCTCGAGCCAAATGGCTTGACCTAATATGGCTACGGAAGGCGGAGGAGGAGGACGAGGAGGAGGAGGAGGAGGAGGAAGGGGAAGGGGAAGGGGAAATGAGGATGGGACGCGGGGCGCGGCTGATTCAAAAAGAAGACCCAACACTACAGGATGGCTGGACAAAAACAATGGCGTGATTCATCACGACTGGATACCTGTACCAAATTCTCGGGGCGTAGATCTTAAGGAGAAAACGCCCAGTGCGATCAAAATTGCGACGCCTGGGTCTCAATGCCCTGCGGGCTGGGTCTGATTCCTCCTAAAAAGGACCCCTCCTGGAGGGCTGGGCCAATTCCCTGGGATTGCGACATATTTTTCCGCACGGACATTGGTTCCACGACGCACGGAAGTCTGGCTTTCGGGCTCGGGCCTCTCGCGGTCGTTCGGGGCCGTTCTCGCACCCCTGGAGTGCCCTCGGCGAGGCGCAGCTGCTAAATAACTTAAGCACCTTGAGGATGGATTCATCCTCCAAGAAACTACGGACAACCATCTGAACACTTCCCTATGGGCCGCGGCCGCTGCGAGATGTCCCGGATCCATTTTTGATAACCCCGGGTCCCGATGACCGGCCAGAGCCGAAATCGAAGAAGAACGCTAGCCGCTAGCATGAAAACACTCAGTTCGTCTGCTTTCAGGCTGTAGTGAAGAGGAACGATAAAAAACTTTCTGGGGCGGACGATTAAAAAATTGTTTCGCGGGCCTCCTCGCCCCCGCAATAGCGGGGGAGCAGGGCAGGCATACGGGGGGCTGACAATTCCGGGTTGCCTGGAAGGCCAGGGGGGGGGGGGGCACGGGGTGGCGATCCAGGGCGCGGGGGCCAAGGGGGTGGACGGGGTGTTTTTTTTTCTGGGCGAGTTCTTCCTCCTCCTCCTCCTCCTCCTCCTCCTCGTCCTCGTCCTCGTCCTCGTCCTCGTCGTCCTCCTCCTCCTCCTCCTCCTCCTCCTCCTCCTCCTCCTCCGCGGACCGTCTGTGGCGACGAACGTGCCACGTCGTGCTCTGCCATGCTACGTTTTGATCTTCAACGCCGTGCTATGCAATGTTATGTTCGGGGCCGCTGTGCGATGCAATGCTTTGCGTTGCAAAGATTTGTGATGAAATTCTGCACTACGCCACGCCACGCCATGCTGTGACATACTACGCTTCGCGGTGCTTTTCAACGCCCTGCCACGCCGTGCTTTACAATGCATCGCGTGCCCTTTTCGGGATCATTGCCCTGCTCGACATCCAACTGTGCGAGTAGAGAGGGGATCTACGCCATGGTAAGGGATGGGAGGGAGGGTAGGCTGTCATATATGAGGCGAGCGCACCTAGCTTGTCCTTCCCCCTCCTCTTCTTCCTCCTCCTCCTCCTCCTCCTCCTCCTCCTCCTCCTCATCCCCCACCTCCCAATCGCCGCGGCCGTCCGCAAGGACGACCGGCGGCCGTCCGCAAAGACGACGGTGATCAAGCGCCTCTTCGAAAACCCCTTCCCTGATTACCCCGTCCCCCCTCCGCAATCCTCCCCCCGCGGCCGCGGGTGATCAAGCGAACGAAGGAGAACGAATAGAACATCAGTTCCCCCAAAGGGGCAAAAGCAAACGCCGGGGGGCGGACGATTTAAAAAAAACAGTTTCCGGCGGCTGAATTCTATTAGTCCGCCCCACTCAATCATTTTGGGGGGGCCGGGGGGGGGGAGGGCGTTTTTTTATAATCGCTCCCCTGCATTAATTCAAGCCTCTGGGGCCGTTCGGGGCGACTCGGGCACCCACCCCGGAACGCTCTCGGCGAGGCGCAGCTAGAAAACCGCCGAAATCCGACGAAAACATCCGAAACCCCAAACCCTGACATCCGCCGATCTGTGTTTTCAATCCGCGGCCCCAAATCGCGGATCCAGGGACTTGTTTCGTCGCGGATCCATGTTTGATGCGAATCCGAAGCCTCATCACGGCCCCTGAAAGCCGAAATCAACGACAAAACCTCCAATTGAAAACACATTTGAGAATCCCTTGTCCAATCGTCTGATATATGTCTCTTAGAATTGCTCCCGCGAAACCGGCATTCCAACGTGACGATCCACTCGTCACACTGTCCACCGCAAACTACAGGAATGGAGCACGGAGCGCTACAAATCAATCCCAAGAACGTATCAGCGCCAGAAGGTGAACAGGATGATGAGGAGGAGGAGGAGGAGGAGGGTGAGGAGAAGGAGGAGGAGAAAGAGGAGGAGGAGGAGGAGGAGGTGGGTGAAGAGGATGAAGATGAGGAGGATGAGGATGAGAAAGAGGATGAGGAGGAGGAGGAGGCGGAGGAGGAGGAGGAGGAGGAGGAGCGGAGGAGGAGGAGGAGGAGGAGAGGAGGAGGAGGAGGAGCGGAACGAGGAGGACGAGGGGGCGGAGAAGGCGGAGGAGGAAGAGGAGGAGGAGGAAGAGGAGGAGGAGGAGGAGGAGGAGGAGGAGGAGGGAGGAGGAGGGAGGTTCGAGGGGAGAGGAAAAAGAGCAGAGGACGAGGAGGAAGAGGAGGAACAGGAACAGGAGCAGGAGGAGGAGGACGGAGCGGCGAAAGCGGAGATCTGGTCCCCCCCGCGAGCGCGCCGAGGCCCCTGCCGAGAGGGGCCTGGGCCGGGAAACACCGGAATGCGGCCGCGGGGGCGGCCGCCCGCCGGCCGGGGAGTCTGCGAAGTCCTCGGGGGTCGACAGCGCCTGGCTCGAGGAGGGAGGGAAGGGAGGGAGGGAGGGAAGAGGCAGGGAAAAGGTCAAGTTAGCCAGGTCGAACGAGCCAGAGGGCTCCGTCCACTCCCTCCCGCCCTCCCGCAACATGCGATGCAAGCGCGTCGCGTCCGACGCCTGTCGCTCATCATGTATCGTGGGCGGTTAGAGTCAGAGGTTCAGCGCGCGACACGAACTGCGTCCTATTCCTGCCGCGGGTATAGCAAAGCCGACGACAAACAAGACCGCCCGGGATGTACGCCGCGCCCCGCTCCAGCCTCTCATGTTGCATCGTCGGCGACAGCATGGCCAGCGCGCGAAGGGCACCGCGTCTCATTCCAGCCACGCGCGCTGCACCGCCAATCGTTTCGCTCCTGCCGCGCATGGAGCAGGGGGAGGACGAGGACGAGGACGAGGAGGAGGAGGAGGAGGAGGAGGAGGAGGAGGAAGAGGAGGAGGAGGAGGAGGAGGAGGAGGAGGAGGAGGGGGGGAGAGAGGGAAGAAGGGAGAAACTGAGGAGGAAGAGAGGTGAATGCCTCTTGGGAATTCGCGGGGCGTCCTGGGAGCTTTCTGGTATGCACCTGAGGGCCTCTTGGATATATCTTCCAGGTTGGAACATTGACAACACAAGTAGGTGCTAACCTCACAATTCTTCAAACACCACATGCAAATCAATATGCGTGCTACCCCCCCAGGACCTCCGGGACGCCTTTTTTTCTACCTTTGGGGGGTCTCCTGAGGCACGTGTTTGAACCGCATTTGCTTGAGGCATTATGACTTGCCGCCCGCCCAACTCCTCAACTCGACGGGCCGCAGCGTCGACGACAAGACAATCCATGTTGACAAGCAGGCGTCCCCGCGCGATGTGCGCCGCGTCCCATTCCCGCTGCGCGATTCGCAGCGCCGACGAGGAGAAAGTACATGTTGGCAAGAAAAACGCCGACGTTGCAATGCTTTTTGACAGGTAGGTTGGGGGGTCCCGCGTAGGCTTGGCCAGGCGTCCGCGCGAGATGCGCGCCGCGTCCCATTCCTGCTACACTGTTCGCCGCGTCGACGACAAGAAAGTCAGTGGTTACGAGAAAAACATTGACTTTGTTTTGTTTTTTGATGGGTAGGACGCGACCACCCGCTTCCGGGAACCCAGACGATGTTCATTCCGTCACATTCCTGCTGCACTTTCGCAACTCGACGACATGTTGGCGAGTTCTCGCAACTCGACATGTTGGGGGGGGAAAAAAAAACTTGAGTTGTTATCGGCCGACTAGGTGGGGATGCGAGAATGTTTCATCATAGGAAGTAAGGATAGGGAGAGTGAGGGAGGGAGGGAAGGAGGGGAGGGAGGGAAGGGGGAGAGACAGCGAGGGAGGGAGGAGGGAAGGAGGGAGGGGAGGGAAAGAGGAAGGGGAGGGAGGGAAGGCGGAGGAGGGGAGGATAGAGGGAGAGAGAGGGAGAGGGGGAGAGGGTGGGAGAGGGAGGGAAGGCAACACGTAGCTTGCAACGCGCAGCTCGCACCACGCAGCCGGCGACACATTGATGGCGCTGCTCGTCCAAAATGGCTTGCACCACATGACTCTTCATCACATACGCAGCTCGCAACACATAGATCGCACCCTGCACGGGACGCTTGCCACAACTTGCAACGCATGCTATAAGCAGCCTGCTGCTTGGGGCACGCGCTGGCTAGCACGTGTGTGTGTGTGTGAAATGCTGTTGGAAACTGCGGCGTCGCCCGGTTGTTCAAGCAAATGGGGACGTGACTCAACATCGGGTGGCGGGGCCTGGCCCCACGTATTACGCGGGGCGTGTGCCGAGGATGATAAGCCGCGAAAAGGTTCGCGGACAGGCGCGCCAGGGCCGCAGCTGGTGCACCCCCTGGGGCACGACTCGCGCCAGGGGCATACCGCATTGAGTCGCGGGGTCGCGCGCCAACGTGTGCCCAGAGCGGCTGTGGCACGAAGCATGAAGGGCGCCCAGTCCTCCTTGCGTCGTGACGAGCCCCCGCGGAAGGCATTGGTTATGCATGGCCTTTGGGGCCTCTTACCACACCCCGGGAACATGAAAAACCGCATCGAGATGAACCGCAAGTTCCAGGACAGGGGGCGGGACCTCTGAGGGTCCACGTCTTGATAAGAATAACTATTTTCCTGGCGAGGGATCCAGCCATGCGCGGGTGCGAGTGCTGCAAGACAGGTGGGACGAAAGAGGAGCAACCTCTTATGGGGCCACGAAGCGTGTGAGGGGTGTGCTGAATGAGTGCGGTGGCGCCTTGCGAATCCTGCCACTGGGTGCATTCGGTGGAGATCCCTATGCGGCCCCGACGCGGGTGTAATGAGTGTGCCGAAATTGGCGCGGTGGCGTCATGCGACCCCTGCCACTAGGGCCTTCGGTGGGGCTCCCTATCGGGCCACCAAACGTGTGAGGGGGGTGCCGGACTGGGCGCCATGGCTCCATGCGAACCCTGCCACTGGGGCATTGGGGGAGCTCCCTATGCGGCCCCGAAGCGCGTGCAATGGGTGTGTCGAAATTGGTGCCGTGCCGCCGTGCGAACCCTGCCACTGAGGTCGTCGTTGCGGTCCCTGTGGGGCCATAAACCGTGTGAAGGGAAGGGTGTGCCGAAGTGACGGCGAGGAGAAAGCAGGAAGAGGAGGGGGGAGGAGGAGGAGGAATGAGGAACGCGGGGCGCTCTCTTCAACACGAGGACCCGACACAGGATGCTCGGGACGTCCGACGTCAGAGGCTTTGGAAGCGTGAGATGTGTATGTGTGAGTGTGTGTAGGAGCAAGCCGTGGGGCCGTGCGCAAATGGTGCCCAGTGGGGCCCGAGTTCCCCACCTGGCAGGTCGGGCTTATCAGGTCTTGAAAAGGAAACTCCAGATCTGCCTCGCCCGCTCTGCACTCCGTGGCCGCAAGGCCCCATGGTGTCTCGCCTTGCCCGCACTGGTTACGGCGCCTGCCAGGCCCGAAATGCTCTGGTTGGTCACTGGTGTTTTGCGGACGCGAAACCACGAGTGTGCTGGTTGGACCCTTCTGTCCTGCCTCGCGTAATCGGAAGTTGACGACAGAAACGACAGAACAAACACAACAACCTGCGCAAAAGCAAATCGCACTGTACCGTCGCAAACTCGGTGACTCCACGCACAATAGACACACCTCACACACAGACGTGATTGCAAAGCATGCGTACACAACGCGCAGGCAGATCATCGAACACTCACCCAACGAGAACACCTACCCACATACACAACATGCGTGAAGAGCCCAGAAGAGCCCACGGCAGGAACTCAGACCACATACATCCAGAGCAGACGCAATTGACACTCTAATTGCCAGAGGCAGGTCGCAGACCATGGTAAGCCGCGTGCTATCCGGAGCGCAACGAACAGGAACACGTCTTATACATAAGCAGCGCGCGACGAATTATGAATGACTCGTAAACATGAATATGCACATGCCGCGCACCAGGAACTGTGATAGCGAACATTCGCGACGCGGGTTCGTACGTACTAATCATAAACCGTGCTAGCACATATTAGATACGATCAAACGAAATGAGCGTGAGCAGAGACATCACCTACATGGCATACGTATGTTGTAGCACGCACGCGTGTCGAGCACAAGTGCACTGCCAGGCGTAGATAAGCACACATGATGACATGTTACATAAGCACATCATCTTTCCGTGCGCACTAGACCAGCTGTGAGACCAATCGCGCACATTCTCGGGTGGAGAGCGAGCACAACAATGTTACTGTTTCTGCTGCTGTTTCGCCGCATGTGCGGGAGCCATGCGCATGCGCAACATCGATCGGCGGGCCTCCCTCAGAAACGGAGCTTCTTACGGAGATAGAGGACGTCCTTGGAAGGCTTGCCCGCCTTGTCTGCTGGAGGGTTAGCGAACTTCTCCTGAAACGCACTCTTGATGGCCTTCTTCGCCTCGACGCGGCCGTCGCTGTTGTCCATCTGTTGGTCCGTGACCCACGACTGCACGCCGACTTCAGCGGGCACCTGGTAGCGAGTGGGCATCATGTGGTTGTAGTTCACGTACTTCACAAAAGGCTTGACGCGCGTCCTCTTAGCGATCTTCTTCTTCCCCATTGTCTTAGTCACCTTCAGGGGAGCCTTGTCCACGCCAGCGACGAGGCAATGCCCAAACGGGCGCGATTTGGACCCGTCATCAAACGGCTTTACCACGATGGCCTTCTTGCCCGTGTAGCGGCCCTGCAGGAGTACAACGACGCGGCCAGCTTTGATGAACTTGCCCATAGCTGTCGAGTGGCTCGGCTCGGACCGTGGCGCTGATGCTCTGCTGGAACCTTGGGCAACAACGACTGCTCCAGATTTCACCGTAAGAGGAAGGGGGTTTGATTTGCCTCGGGGGGGGTGACTCGAACTAGATCTTGCGAGAGGGGAGCGAGCTTCATGTTGATGTCCAAGTGATCTGGCGGGAGGGGGCCTGATTTGATCATTCTGGGAGGTGCTGGCGGGGGTGCCTGCAATGTCCCATCAGTTTGCCCAGCGAGAGGAGGAGGGCCTGGCCTAGCACGGCGCAACAACGTAACTGGCGGGGTTGCGGGCTGACATGTACTTCCACAACGTCCGCTCTTAACTGTATGGGGAAGGGGGGACAGGGGACAAAAACGTATTGGGGGGTCAGAACCCTGATGATCTGACACCTCGTTTTCGGCAAGAGGGGCCTTCGTACATCTCTATGGAACTCCTGGAACGGGGTCTGCTTCCGCGATGCTCCAAATCACCCCAGACTGAAGGGGGATCGAAACTGGCGCGTTATGACCGTGCCATTTATTATGAAACCTGGGGTGCGGATGCCCTCGAGGGCCGTAGCCAGGGGCTCCCTCGGGGCCCATAGGGGCAAGAAACGAGCTGAGTCAGTGTCGGAGCTGGCTGTGGGGGCGCGTGCGAACGCGCTCGCTGGGGCCGCAGACTGGCCGACTCCGAGAGCCCCGAACCTCCAGAGATGTTGACGTCTCACCGGCCCTGCTCCCGCCACCTCCCGCTCACCTTTCTCTGCCTTCCCCGCCGCGGTCTCTTGCTGCCCATCTTCCTCCGACCTCCCGCCGCTGGGCGAGGCGCGGGGCCCCTGTCTGGAGCGCGCCGGCTGGGGCTGCCCGTGGGGCACGAAGCGCGCGAGGGCGTGCCAGCGCGGGCACGCCGCCAGCGTGGGCAGCACCAGCGGCAGCATCAGCGGCAGCAGCAACAACAACAGCAACACGATTGCCACTCTTCACTCTTCGTCGCTCGCGGGTCGATCAGCTACTAACTCCGAGGCCTCGATGTCCGCCCTCTTCGCCTTCGATCGTGCCCCTTTGGGGGGTATCTGGTTTTTGCCTGCCACGTGTTGTTGGCGCGGCCTCCACAATATGAGGCGGAGGGCAGAAAGGAAAGAAAGGGAGAGAGTGAGGAACGTACAAAAATGACGGTGACGGAGGGGTCAAGTGGGAGGAAGGAAGATCGACGGCCAAGAGTACGCTGGAGGAGTGGGGATGGAAGAGCAACCATCGTCGGGCCGGGCGGTCCAGCACTAACTGCGGGTCGGGCGGGCGGAACCTACCGGGCGATTCGGGCGGGCGGGGCACCACAACGGACGAGAAGGCTCCCAAACACGCGGGCTGGCAGACCTGACAGGCAGGCCCGGCGGGCGGATCGTCACGGGCGGGTCGAGCGGGCGGGCCCTGGGTCGGGCGTGGCGGGCATAAACCGAGCGGGAGCACTTCCAAACAAGCGGGCCCACGGACCCCGACGAGCAGGTCGGGCGGGCGGATCATGACAGGCGGGTCGGGCGGGCGCGCCTTGACGGGCGGGTCGGGCGGGCGGACAATAGCGAGAGGGTCCACTGGAACATTGAAGCGGGCGGGCGGGATAAAGTCAGCTTGCGGTTGCAAAAAAAAGCCATGCGCGTAACAAAAAACCGGGGGGGGCGCCCGCCAAGTGGAAACACACCACGGCGCCGCCGGTGATCAGTACCGACACCCAGGAGGGGTTCAGCAGCGCCTCCGCTACAGCGGGACGGCTGGGCCAAAATGGCGACTGTCAATGGAGAAAAAAGGAGGCGAAAGGAAGAGGCGCCTCGGCTGGCGGGCGGTGCCGACATGGCTACAAACGTGGAAAGAAAAAATGGGGAGGAACGGCACAGGCAGGCGGTGAGGGCTCCCCTGTCTCCTCTCCTTCTCCCCTGTCTCCTTCTCCACTACAAGATGCCCTACGACGACGACGACGACGCCGACGGCGACGGCGGACGACGACGACGCACCGCGGATGCTCCATGTGAAGGGGACCCGGGTGCTGGCATGCCCGCTGTATTCGTCGACGGTGACGACGAAATACTGCAGATGACCCATGGAAGGGGAGGCTGCGTAGGCCTGGTGTCGTCGTCGACGACGACGACGCAACGACGCCGACGACGCTGACGACGCTGACGACGACGACGACGACGACGACGACGACGACGACGACGACGGGGACGGCGGCGGCGGCGACGACGATAACGACGGACGGCGCCGCACTGCGGATGCCCCAGAACGGGAGCGCTGCGCTGCGAGCCCCGCTGCAGTCGACGACGACGACGACGACGCGGACGCGGACGCCGACCACAACGAAGGCGACGACCAACACCACGACGACGACGACGACAACGACGACGAATGACGCGACGAAGACGGCAACGACGACGCACTGCGGATTCCCCACGACGACGACGACGAATGACGCGACGAAAACGGCGACGACGACAGCGGACGACGACTACGATGACATCGACAACGACGACGACGACGACGACGGCGACCACGACGACGACGGCGACGACAACGATGGGGCACGTCAGTTGTCAGCCTATCACAACTTCCAAACGATAAGAAATAGTTTTGGGGCTGCCGTGCAGGAGGGTGCACGATCCCCTCGGCGGCGCCTGCGACGACCGCTGGCGCGCGTGATTCGAAAAATTGTTTCGCGCTCCGCGAGGTCTATTCATCAGCCTCGGGGTCTATTCATCAACCTCGGGGGGAGGGCCGCGGTGGGAAGGGGGGCCATCATCACACAGTGACACTACTGACGCTGAAAAATTATGACTGTGCATCCTCCCCGTCCGGTGCTCACTGCATTTTCACATTGAGTTGCCCCCACGTTGCGCGCACCCTGTTTTTTCTCGCGGAAGTTTTGAACCTCAAACTGGGGCCCTTGGGCCCCCGGCTGCAACAACAACGGCTCTCGCCTGATAGTTTCCTCGCAATGTACTGTAAATCGCGCTCTCGCTCGAGACTTCGTCAATTTACTCAGGAATCGCAACATCGCTGAAGAGTTCCTCTCAAATTAATATAGCGCTTTGCTGTTGACGTCCAGGCATCGCGCTCTCCCACAAGACATCGTCACAACTTACTCAGGCTCCGTGCTCTCGTCGGGTTTTTTTTTTGTCGCTAATCGCGAGATATGCTTCAACGCCCCGCCTGCCCGACCTGCACATCAGGGTCTGCCCGCCCGATCCGCCCACTGGGGTCCACCCGCCATACCCACCCGTGAGGGTCCGCCCGGTCGCCTGCTTGGAAACCCGCTTGCTCATTTCAATGTCCCGCCAGACCCATCGGACCCACCCAGCGCAGTGGGCGGCCACGAAGCGGCCCTGGGTGGCAACGTGGCGAAACCTCTGAACTGACCCGGCGCACGAGGAGCGCACGAGGAGCCCACGGGCGGCAACATGGCGAAATTTCGCCGGACCCACCCAGCGCAGTGGGCGGCCACGAAGCGGCCACGGGCGGCAACGTGGCGAAACCTGGCCAGACCCACGCAGCGAAAGAGGCGGCCATGAGCGGCAACGTGGCGAGACTTCAACGGACCCACCCAGCGCACGAGGCGGCCGCGCGGCAGCTGCGGGAGGCAACGTAGCGAAACCTCGCAGGACCCACCCAGCGCACGAGGTGTTCACGAGGCGGCCACGTGCAGCAACGTGAAGAATCCCCACCGGACCCATCAAATTCCGCAGTGGTGTTGCAGAGAGCCCCTAAGTGCAAGCTCTGCATTCGGAAACTATTCGGCTGAAAGCACAAATCAACAAATCTACAGCAGCTTGGGAAAGACGGGGAGGGGGGACGCGAGCGGAAGCAAGAACGAATCGCTCGGCGCAGTGGGCTTTTACATCGACGTCCACATTCAACCACCACCAGCCTCCGAGGACCTCCCGCCAGCAATCTCTCCTCTGCATGAAAATGTCATTGTATTTTTCCCCAGCGCGCTGCACGAGTAAACCCTCCCCCGTCAACCCCACCCCCTACCGTCGAGTGCCTCCCCACCCACCCATCGGAATGTTCAGTGGAACAGGCTGCCGCGTCAGAGCTTGTGCAAGGTAATGAAACCGTCCTGCAAATCTGCGGTACTGCAAAGGAAAAGTAGCATTGGGGCTGACACAGGTACGAAGAAAACGTGCGGATGTTCTCGGTATGTTAAAATCCACCACAAGACTAAGTGATGTGGGGGTAGATGTTTGGGCTGCTGTCTTAGAAGCAAATATGAAATACACAATTCTGGGGCTGCTACCATTGTGTAGGCAAGACAGTGTGCTGCCGATGCTGATGCTGTCTCAGAAGCTGGAAGTGCCAGAAGCAGCGCGGTAAGGGGAGGCGTGGGAAAAGAGGCACCCTCCTCTTCCTCCTCTTCCTCCTCATCATCATCCTCCTCGCGGACGTCGGCCTCTAGCAAAACCAAATATGCGATGGCTGAGAGGAGCCCGCTATCCCAGCCTGCCATGGGCACTCTTTACGAAAGACTTGTTCTTATAATGTCTATAATCGGCTTAGAAAATATGTGTGGGGGGGGGGGGGGGGAATGAAAAAAAACTGTTTTCCCCCGCGCTGCAGTGCGCCTATAAAAACCAAAAAGGAGGCGGGGCAAACTGGATCGCTGGACACGCCCCCGCGACCGCCCTGGCGCCCTGCGTGCAGGGGCAGATTCCTGCGCACCACCTCTTGGCGCCAGGCCACGCATGCCACGCCCTGCGACCCCAGCGTGGATAGAGACTGCGTTCAGGGACCACTCCCTGCGCACCGCGCACCCTGTCTGGATTGCGAAGCGGCGCTGAATACGCAAATGCGGTATGCCGCTGAAAGATTTGATATAACGGGGGCACTGTTTAACTCCAAAACCCAATGGCGAATACCCAATGTAAAAATGCATTCTCTGATCGGAAGACGGGAACATCCCAACGTGTATATGCGACACTGGATGCGCAAATGCCAAGCGCCCAGCGCGCGCGCGGCGGCGGCATGCCGCTAATAGATTTCTATACAACGGAACGAAGTATCGCGCGCGCGCGGCGGCGGCATGCCGCTGATAAGTTTTATGCAACGGGGCGAAATTTGATCTCCCAAACCCACTGGCGAAAACCAGCTGTAAAAATTCATTTTCTGATGGGAAAAACGGGGGCAGCACAATGTGGATATACGACACTGAATGCAAACCTGCCAATCGCCCAGGAACGCGCGCGCGGCGGCGGCATGCCGCTGATAGGTGGCATACAACGTGGGCGATGTTGCACCCCAAAACCCAATGGCGAAACCCCATGTAAAAAATCACCCTCTGATCGGAAGACGGGAACATCCCCATGTGTATATGCGACACTGGATGCGCAAATGCCAATCGCCAACGCGCGCGCGCGCGCGCGCGGCGGCGTGCCGCTGATAGATGTCTATACAACGGGAGCCATGTCGGACCCCAAAACCCAATGGCGGACACCCAATGCAAAAAAAACATTCTCTGATCGGAAGACGGGAACATCACCGCGTGGATATACGACACTGGATGCGCAAATGCCAATCGCCAACGCGCGCGCCGCGGCGGCACGCCGCAGATATGGTTTAAACCACGGGAGCGAGGTCGCACTCCAAAACCCAATGGCGGGAACCCTATGTAAACATCCATGCTCTGATCGGAAGACGGGGGCACCCCCATGCGGATATGCGACGCCGCCTGCAAAACAGCCGAGCGCCAACGCGCGCGCGGCGGCGGCCTGCCGCTGATAGGTTTCTACGCAACGGGAACCATGTTGAACTCCAGAACCCAATGGCGGCAACCCAATGTAAAAATTCACTCTCTGACCGGAAGGCGGGAACATCCCCGTGTGGATGTGCGACGCTGAATGCACGAATGCCAATCGCCAACGCGCGCGCGCGCGCGCGGCGGCATGCCGCTGATAGGTTTTATACAGCGGGAGAGAAGTTGAACTTCCAAATCCAATGGCGAAGGCCTAATGTAAAAATTCCTTCTCCGATCGGAAGACGGGAACATCCCCGTGTGTATATGCGACGCTGAATGTAAAAATGCCAATCACCAAGCGCGCGTGCGCGGCGGCGGCATGCCGCTGATAGACTTTATACCACGGAGGCAATGTTGAATTCTTAAACCCAATGGCGATAACCCAATGTAAAAATTCACTCTCTGATCGGAAGACGGGAACATCCCCATGTGGATGTGCGACACTGAATGCACAAATGCCAATCGCCAACGCGCGCGCGCGCGCGCGCGCGCGCGCGCGCGCGGCGGCGGCATGCCGCTGATAGGTGTTATACAACGGGAGCGAGGTTGAACTCCAAAATCCCATGGCGAAAACCCAAAGTAAAAAATCACTTCTGATCGGATAGCGGGGACATCCCCATGTGGATATACGACGCCGAATGCAAAAATGCCAAGCGCCAGCGCGCGCGCGGCGGCGGCATGCCGCTTATAGATCTTATGCAACGGGACATGTGTTCGCGCGCGCGGCGGCGACATGCCGCTGATAACTTTTATCCAGCGGGGCGAAATGTGATCTCCGAAACCCAATGGCGAACACCCAATGTAACAATTCATTCTCTGATCGGAAGACGGGGACATCCCCATGTGGATATGCGACACGGAACGCAACAAAAAAACAATCGCCAACGAGCGCCCGCGCGGCGGCGGCATGCCGCTGATAGATTTGATACAACGGGAACGATGTTGCACTCCAAAAACCAATGGCAAAAACCGAGTGACAAAACATCATTCTCTGATCGGAAGACGGGAACATCCCAGTGTGGATATTCGACACTGAATGCAAAACATGCAAATCGCCTTGCGCGCGCGGCGGCGGCATGCCGCTGATAGATTTGATGCAATGGGGGTGCTGTTGAACTTCAAAATCCCATGGCAAAAACCCAATGTAAAAATTCATTCTCCGATCGAAGGACGGGAACATCCCCATGTGGGTATACGACACTGGATGCACAAATGCCAATCGCCAACGCGCGCTGCGGCGGCATGCCGCTGATAGGTGTTATACAACGGGAGCCATGATCAACTCCCAACCCAATGGCGAAAACCCTATCCAAAAAATCATTCTCTGATCGGAAGATAGGAACATCCTCGTGTGGATATGCGACACTGAATGCACAAATGCCAATCGCCAACGCGCGCGCGGCGGCATGCCGCTGATAGGTTTTATACAACGGGAGCGAGGTTGAACTTCAAAATCCCATGGCGAAAACCCAATGTAAAAATTCATTCCCTGATCGGAAGACGGGAACACCCCCATGTGTATATGCGACTCTGACTGTACAAATGCCAATCGCCAACGCGCGCGCGCGCTGCAGCCGCTGCCGATGTCGCCGTCGTCGCGTCGCTTGCGCCGCCGCGCTCACTCGTCGTCGTCGTCGTCGTCGTCGTCGTCGTCGTCGTCGTCGTCGTCGTCGTCGTCGTCGTCGTCGTCGTCGTCGTGTCGTTAGCCGTCCTCGCCGTCGTCTTCCGTCGTCGTCCCTGGTGTTGTTGTTTCTCTGCCTGGACCTCGTGCCCCGCGTTCCCTGAATCCTCGTCGACGTCCTTCCTCCACCTCCTCCTGGCAGCCAATGCTTTCAGTACATATCGAGTAAAGGCAAGGCCGCCGCCCAAAGCTGACACAAACGATGACGACTCTGCGAATTGGCACCGTGCTTGCGTTCGGGTACAGGGGCAACTCGTTCACGTCATTGCTGAAGCTGCGGTAGTTGAAATCATCCTCAGTGCGCCCAACGCTTGTCTCGATACATTCGAGACTGCGGCATCACAACTGTGGTGTGTCGCCCGAGCCCCCCTGGGGTCTCACGGCGTCTGAGGACCTTCGCTCCCCTCTCCCGTTGTCTCCGTCCCACAGCCCCACCAACAAACATGCACTCGGTATCTCCTCTCGGGGGCGCGCAAACATGGATTAGCGATACATGGATCTGCCGCGCGGTCGCCAAATCCATGGATCGGGGGAAGCGCCCTCCACAACATGCGGCCGGTGCCGCCTCGCTCGGCGGCGGAGATCCGCGATTCCCCAGGGAAGCGGGACCCGTCGCTAATCCACGCCCCCTGGATCCATGGTTGCGATCGCCTGATCTTCCTCCTCCGAACGGCGGCGACTATAAGGGAGAATAGCCCAAGGGCGGGCATTACACGTATTCGCCCGGGAGCCCTGTCGAAGGCATAGGTCATCGGCGCCCCTGGATACATGTATTGCTCCCCCCTGGGCTACTCGCCCCGATCGTCGCCGCCGATCCGATCCTCCCTCCTCTCCGTATCCTCCCCCCTCCTCCGTCAGTCCCTCGTCCCCTCCGTCCTCCCTATAGACCTTCTCGAAGCCGCGACGTTTTTTGTCGCCGCGTGGGCCCCCAGAGCTCCAGCAGACCACTTCTGAAGGGGCCCAGGGACGCACGCAAGTAAATACACACACACTGATCCCATGATTCCCCATATTTTTCCAGATCTTCTGGGTTTTCGTCTTCCCCCCCACTTCCAATATTCTCCCATATTTTCTTGGGAGTCGACGATGAATGTGCCTGCGTGTGTTTCTCCCCTCCTGAACTTCGCAAGGACCAGCGTTTCCTCCCGGGTCGGTCTTGGAAAGCCCCAGGGCCCGGCGAGGGCCTCCGGAAACGGCCTGGGCCCTCCCTCTACCACCCCAGGTGACCCACACTCTCGACCCCCCCGCGTCGGGGACGCGCCATTCCGGGTCAGCGCGAGTCGGGGCCAGCCAAAGCCAGGTTGCCAACATCCGCAGGCCACCTAGAAGCTCGCGGAGGCAGGGAGGGCAGGGGGGGGGGGGGCCTGCCCCACATGGCCCCCAACATGGGTCGGCCAGAAGGGGTCGGAGGGGATCAGCTAACCCCCGCTGGCGCCCCGGACATCCCCACAATGTGATGTTTTCGATCTCTGGGGCCACTTCTCCGTCCCGGGTCTACTTAGTCACTTCTTGGGGCCACGAGCCCCGGGAGCCGCAGAACTCCAGCAGCACCGCTGGGAGTTCATCGTCGGAGCCCTGAGACTGACCCCCTGTCGCCTGGCGGCGTGCAGAAGGGAGGGTGCCCCAGGGGGGGCGGCCTTGTCAGAAACCTGGGATGACCTCCTTGAAGGCAAGGGGCGCCTCAGAAGCCCCCCCGGGCCTGCAAGAGGCCACCTCGGGAGCCCCGAGGCCCTCCCCAGAAGGCCCCTGCCTACCAGGGGCCCGCCCTACGAGAACGGCGCCCACGCACCGTACCAGGTCTGGACTCCGTTCGGGCCCCACTCCAACGCGGTGCGGTGCGCAATTTGTTCGGCTCCGGGGGCCGGAAAACTATGCACCGCACCACTCCTGGGTCGAGAATGGACAACGCCTGGGGAGACGCCAACACGGTACGGTGCACACAGGTCGTCCGCAGACCCCCCCCGCTTTCGTAGAAGGCGCCCCTCCTCTCCCTCGCACCCCCTCCTACCTTGAGATCTGACGTCGCAACACATGGCAACGTCGCGAAACATCACGACCAGAGCCCCAGACCTTCTGTGTCTGCGCCGTTTCTCGAGCCAGACCCATCCGTGAGGGTCCTGGGGCCCGAAGCCATGCGGAAACAGCTGCTGCGACACCTATGTCGCACCCAGATCTGAAGGTTTGCCCCCCCCCCCCGCCGCGGCCCCCCCACTTCCCCCCACTTTTTTTTCTCTTTAGGAGCGCAGAGGTTTCTTGGGCAACTCTAGAGGTCTATAAGCAGCTCCGTGAAAGGCGGTCGTGCCTCAGCACGAGCAGTTCCGTCTCGGGTAACCGACAAAGAGGCCGAGCTACGACCGTAGTTCCAGCAACTCTTTCTGGCCGAGTGTCTATGTACGTGAACTCCATTCTTGGCCCAAAAAGCGTCACCAGAAAATTCGGGACAAATCTGGGGACGCTCATGGGCCCCCGCTTCCCCCCCACCCTGGGCCGCGTCGCGCACCAGAGGCCCCAACGGCGAACAGTCACTCCTACGCCTCTTGCAACCGCCCTGAGTGCGCGCCGACGCTCGCCCGCCCCAAACCCCACGCCGTGATCTTTTGGTCGCAACGTCGGCCCCCAGAGGTCTGGACCCCTTACCCGGGGACCGAAGCTTTTCATCCTGACTCGTTTCTTGGCGGTCCCGAGGCCCGAGAAGGGCCCCGCGGAAGCCGAAAATAACAAAAAACCTTCCGCCGCGCATTTTTTCACAGCGCGAGGAGATCACTGGGTCTGTGCCGCGGCCCTGCGCTGCGGCAGACGCCGCAGCGCAGGGCCGCGGCAGACCCAGACCCCTGGCCCCCTCCCGCCGAGAGCCTGCCGTGTTTTTTGACGGTCCTGAGGCCCGGGAAGGGCCCCCTGGAAGCCGACAATGATAAGAACAATCGCGTCGTGTTCTTTTCCCATCGCGAGGGGGTCTGGGTCTGCAGCGGCCCTGGACCTCCGAGACGGCCCGGGCCCCCCCCGCCGAGAGCCTGCCCTGCGCCAAGCAGCCCCTTCTGGCCTTCTGGGGCGCGCCCGCCGCGCACCGCGCTCCAGCCGCCCGCCGCTCGGGGCGGCCAGCGGTTCTGCGTGGTTTGCCTCGCCTGCGCAGCTGCGTCCGAGCGCTCGGAGCCCCGTGGTTCGCTCGTTCGTTCCTCCTCCTCCTCCTCCTCCTCCTCCTCCTCCTCCTCCTCCTCCTCCACCCCCTGCAGGCTCCCCTGCCCTGAAATGGCCTCCTCATGGTGGTCGTGGTGGCCCCCAGGAGAGCACCGGGGTGTCCCCGAGGAAGCCCCCGCCTCCTGGCCCCGTTTCGCTCCTGACCCTCGCCCTCCCTCGCTGCAAAGAGCCAAGGGGCCCAGGGACACACAAAAATAAATGCACACTGTTCCCAGGATTCCCCATGTGTTCCCATATCTTCTGGGTTTTCGTCTTCCCCCCCCCACTTCCCATATTTTCCTGCATTTTCCGGGGAGTCGATGATTAATTGTGTCTGTGTGTTTTCCCCTCCTGAAAGAGCCAGAATCTGCGCGCCACTTGTTTCACGCATGCCGGAATGTTTGGATAGCGTGTCGTGGAGGCGACCCTGGCGACAAGCTGTGCGTTGCAACCGGGCGGCGTGTTGCTCCGCTCCGCGGGGCGGGAGGCTCGGAGGGGCTCGGGACGTTGACGATGGGGGACCTGGAAAGGGATAGCGTGTCGCACCAAAGCGTGGTGGGCCAGATGCGGCGGAGCGGCACGGTATCCAAAGTTCCAGACCGTATGTGCCATCAGGATCTGCTCCACAGGCTGCCTTGTAAACCTGCTCAAAGACCTGGGATCAACAAGTCTTGCACTGCCAAAACCATGTCGATGCGTGATCGGCAATCGGTATCGGCAGAATGGAAGCGAGAAAGCGGATGGCCTCACGATCCTGCGTTTTGCTAGCGGTGAAGATGCCAAGAATCCTCCATGGTTCAGCGGGCCACTCAGCATGCCATTCGCGCTTCGGCGTGTCAGCATGTTGGGCTGACTTGCGGGCGACCCCCGCTTGCGGACAGCTCGGGACTCTCTTGCCAGCTGCTGCCGCTGCCCTGCTGCTGGCGAGGAGGGGGGGATCAAGGCTGGAGCTTTCAGCCCCTGGGGTACGGACAAAATCAAGACATCGGACGTCGGGGAACGCGTCCCTGTGGCAAGAGGTCCTTAAGGATGTTTCGGCCGTTTTCGAAACTCTAGAGGGCCCTCCACGAGCCCCCTGGGACAATCAAAAGCAACTCAGGATGAACATCCGCCCCTTTCGGCTTGGTCCGACCGATCCCTTCCGTGACGGGCCCGTTGAGTGACGACCCCTTTTCCCTCCTGGCGAGCTCCTGATGCAGCGCTGCCGCTGCCGCCGCTCCCACGGGCGCTGCCGCTGCCGCCGCTGGTGCTGGCACCACCGCTGCGCCGCTGCCGCTTGTAGATGCCTCCCAGATGGGGTCGGAGGATCGCGCCGCATCGCCGATCCATCGACGATGCATCGGCGACGTCGGCGGTGCGTCGGCGACGCCAGCGCGGAGCACATCGGGCCCCACAGCGACCCGCATCGCCGATGCACTGGCAACCTCGCGCGATCCTCCGACCCCATCTGCTTGGACCCCCTGAGACCCGACGTCTCAAGAACATTGAGACGCCGTGAAAAATCGAGCCTGGACCTCTAGACCCTATCTTTCTGCGCAATGTTCCGAGCCGGATCGATCCGTGAGGGTCCCGGGGGCCGAAATTACGCGAACCCCCCCAGCTAGAAAAAATTGAGTCGCCAGGAGCTCAGGGCCACTTGGGAGGCCTAGCGTTTTTGTTCCTCTCCTCCCGCCGCTGCGCTGCCGCGGCTGCGCTACGGCAGTGGGCCGTCGGCGGCCCGCCGCCCCGCAGACAAAGCCGCCGCCGCCGCCCTCGGCCCAGCGCCGGCGCCGCGCCGTGAGGCGGTCGGCCGTGCCTCAGACGCAGCGGGCTGCCGTCGATCTTCACTCCGCGCACGCGCCGTGCCGTCGCACGGCCGCTGTTGGCCACTTCTGCTCCCGTCTCCGCGCCCACCCCCTCCCGTGTCCGCATCATTTTCTGTATCTCCTCTCCTCTCCTCTGCTCTTCATCTCTTCTCCTCTCCCTGCCCCTCCCGCCCTCCTCTCCTCTCCTACCGTCCCTTATACGCGTGAACGCTTCTATTTCTCTCCCCCCCGAGACGTGCTGACATTGGCACGCACCCCCTCAACCTAATATCTAGGTAAAAACAGAAGATTGGTACGAATTGTTTGCCCATGTGTCTTTTCCAACCCGCTCTCGGTCCTTCCAAAATGGTGCCCCCGATGCAGCGCTGGCATTATTTCAGGATTGGCGCTTTGCTCCCGTCGTTCAGAATGGCGCTCTCGCCACAGTGCGGGCCACATTTCAGGATCCGACTGTTTCCTCGTCGTTGTCGCCACCTTTCTGTCCCTTCCCCCCGCATTTCTCTGGTCCTCCCGCTCCTCCTGCTCCTGCTGCTGCATGTCCTCCTTGTCCTCATCATCCCTCGTTCATCCTATTCTCTCCTCACCTCCTTCCTCGCCCTTCCTAATGGTACGACTAACTCGTCGCCGCTGTCTAATTACCCGGGGGGCCACAAAGCAGTCGCCCAAGAGTGGTGGCATACGAATTCAAACCGCATGTGGTTTAAGGTCTGCGTCCTCCTTCCAGTTGTCCTCCTCGTCATGCTCCCGTCGTCTCGCTGGTCCCTTCTCCCCACGCAATGCCAATGCCCTGATCTCCGTGCTGGTCTTGTTCATGGCCCGTCACATGAGACCCGCTCGCAAGCTGTAAGGGCTTCGTGCCGTAGCTCCGGTGGCACTCGCGGAATGTGCCGCATCGGTGATCGAGAGAAAAACTGAACATAAACCACGTTCACTTGAATGGAATTCCCCTCTCGCACAGGTGGTCCACTCCGCTTCGCTGTTCAACCGCCACCTCCTCCTCCTCCTCCTCCTCCTCCTCCTCCTCCTCCAGTGTACACAACTTCCACTTTCAGAATTCGCGTAACAGAATGGGGTCGATGACGCCGGTTGTCGGAAATAGAACTATCATCACCATGGGAAGGGATACCGGGGAGGGGTCGGATGTCAGATGTGGCGCGAGCGCACCTAGCTTGCTTCTTCCTCTTTTTCTGCTCCTCCTGTCGGCCGCGCCAGCGCGATCCTTGTCCCAGTTGGAGACGCAATAGAGCCGCTTCAAGGATTCGAACTCTCGCTCCTCGCAGAAGACAAATGTTTGGGGAGGGCTGGAAAGGGGAGGAGGACACGAGAGAATGTTGGAGAAGAGTGAAGAGCGTGGGGAAGATAATGACGCTGAAAAAGGCGATGGGTGAAGGGGTGGGGGGACGGTAGAAAACAGGGGGCAACACATTCTCGCGGACGGAAAAGCAGGAAGGGGGCATACTGATACATGCGACGCGAGGAGCACTTTGGTTATGGAGGCGAGGAAGAAGCGGGTAATTGGCGGTGGACGAACCTCCCTTTCGTAAACCACCCTGGTAATGGAAACTGCCGAAAACCGGAACCGACGGACCTGGACCCGCAAAAATGACGGCCGCGACGCCCTCTAGCGAACCGACAACGGCCAATTCGCTAATCGACGTGTCAGGGTAGGACGTCGATCAACCTCCGAAACAATGATGACGAGGATAAAGATAAGGAGGGAGATGAGGGAAATAGAAAGGAGCGCAAGATTCTGGCGTGGCTGACCACCACGGCTATGGCGGCCAGGAGCAGGAGCTCACTGCCCACGCAGGGCGGGAGGGGGGGGTGGCTATGAAGGGGAAGGGACCACGAAAAGGGGAAAACTGCGGCGATGGCTACGGTTCAAGAGGTCGTTCTTTATTTCAAGCTCCTGGGGTCTAGATCCGAAGGCGGGCGCTGCCCTCGCATAGTCGCGCCTGGCACGCGCAGCAAAACAGCTGCCCAACGGAAGCGTTCCCTGAGGAGGCTTACCCTACGAAACCGACGATGTCTGCATGAAGTATGGAACCCGCACTCGGCCCAAACAACAAATAGAAAGGAGGGCGGAGGGACGGGAACCGAGGACAGAACAATGAGAAAATAACCTCATGCTACCAGCCCGGCCCAGCGCGAGCTCTCCTGAAACGCACCTGGGAGCTCATCTGTTTCTTGGCACTCTCGTCTAACACCTTCTTCAACGCGCGCTCCAACGGCCCGCGCGGCGGCCCCGGCGCGCGTGATCATGCCGCCATCGTATTCCGCGAGCTCATCGAACCACTGGCGTACGACCACGGAACGCCGGCGGCTGTGGTGGCGGGGCTTCAGGTGTCAAAGCCAGGTGCACATCTGTGGCGAGCCCTCGCCCTTCTTGTGGATTCACCCTGAAATATCCGATCAGTTGCCCCACTTTTGACGCGCCGCCGTACTTGGCCAGTGCGCCGTTGATGAACTCCATCATCTCTGCTGCGTTCATGGCCTCCCATGCTGCTCGGGCCCTGCCGCTGCCGCGCGAGTCGCTGCGCTGCCAAACGCTGCCGCGGCAATATGCGTGCCGGCCGCCCCCCTGGATTGTGATCCACTTGCTCGCCTGCCTTCTCTTTGGCCTTGAGCTCGGCGGTCTGGTCGTTGCACTTCTTGCTGGCTCCTTGCATTGCCGCGATCATCGGCGCGGCGGCTGGCATCTCGTACTTCGCGTAGAGAAGCGCGCCCATGTCCCCGATGTCCTTCGCGTTTGTGAGAGGCGGCCTGGCCGCGGGCGCCGCGGTGTCCTGCGGGGGCGCATTGGCTTCTCGGGCTCCTGCGCCTGGCCGTCGGCGACCTCTCGCGCGGCGCGCCCGACCCCGGCGGAGTTGCAGCGACGCGATGGAATGGTGGGCTTCGCCTCCACTTTCCCCGGGATTGTGGCGGAGTGGTTCGGGCGCTCCAGGGGCAGGGCCCACGGCCCCAAGCGAATGACTTCACGCCGGATGGCAGGGGTCTTCCAGGGCCCCACCTTCGCATTCCAAGCATGAACAATGTAGTGCTCGTGACTGTTTGAAAGGCAACAGAGCGCGAGCTGCTCCGCGCGGGCAGTGCCCGCGTCCGACGACTGGGGCTAAATGCTCAGCTGCTGCTGCTGCTTGCTGCTTGCGCTGCAAGCGCTCGACGACCACTGGTGCATGGGGTTTCGGGCGTGGTCGCGTTGAAGTGGTTGCGGGCGCGAGGGGCTGGCTGATTTGAAATGTGACCATCATGAACCCCGCAAATAAATAACTGACTCCATGTTCACTGTGCCTGCGTATGACGCAGTCCGACTGACCCCGCTCCTCCGGCGACGCTGCGCTCGGCGGCCGCGGCAGCGGCCCCTGCCATCCCGGAGACGGCGCCCGCCCCCCAAAATCGCGGATTCGAAGCTTCGCGAAGTCAACCACGCAAAGATACTCAAGGGCGCCTTTCTCCGCGATCAAGGGCGCATCCAATGCTAACGGCTCCGCCGCGCAATGCGGCGGCAAGTGGGCGGCCTGGTCAAAGGCCGAAGCCATCTGCCGCAACTGCGGCGAAGCATGCCGCTGCGGTCGGCCCGCGATAGGCCGCGGCCTGTCATCGCACTCGAACGCTCCGAGAAGCGCAAAATAAAACCGGAATGCAATGTTCGGGTCGTCGGCCCCAGGGCGAGCAAGGTGCAGTCGCCGAATTCCCATCTCCCCCCGCGGAAAGAATAGAATCCAGAGCGGGCAGCAGCGCGCCTACAAGCAACCTCGCGTCGTTCCTGATCCCGCGCGGCAATGCGCAGCCTCAGATGCCTCGCCCCTTTCTCGCGCTGCCCCCTTCAACGCGCAATCCCCTGCTCGAAGCCTAGCGAGCCCCGAATGACCCTGCTGAGCAAAATGCGCGCGAAACTCTTGTTTGGCGGCGTCATGCTGTCTGCGCGCGCTAGATTGTCCAGGAATGAAGCTAAGGCGTCTCCTGGATCCGCGGCAGCAGCTCTGTCCAAATCGTCGGCGTACTTCTGAAGAGACGCGCCGGCACCCCACCCCCTTCCACACCCCCACACATCTTAGAATGCGAACCCCATGATCGTAGCTCCGTCCCCCGCGATAGCGTCGGGAAATCGAATGCCCCCCGGAAGGCCGAGTCAATGGGTCGCCCGCGCAAAAGCGCGTCGGCTGGGCGACGGGCATCTCGTCCGAGGCTTCAAACTGGAGCAAACTCTGGCGAACTCATTGCTAGCAAGTCGCGCGATCCTCTGGGTTCGCGCGAAGCTCCGCAACCTGGCCCGAGGTCGCGTGATCAGCGCTGCCTCAGGTGTTGCTGAGATCCTTCAAGCATACTGCGCGCATTTATCCCCCCCCGCCCCCGAAGTCGACGACTAACCAGCTGCGAACATAGCGAAGCTCCCCCCCGACGACGCCCCTCGACGAATCCGCAGTCCATGACCGACGACTCTCACCGAAGACGGCGATCGTCGCGCGCCTCACTTGCTGCGCGACTCGACGACCGCGCGGCTCTGAGAGGCCCGACTGTGGCAACCCGCGCACGGCGCGAGCGCGCCGACACAAGGGGGCACGCTGGTGCATCCTTACTTCCGCGAGGCCCACGTTCAAGAGGAACATAAAAGCATCGGCCCTGGGGGGCTCATCCGAGGCCCCTGGTCCACGAACATCTGGAGCATCTTTGAGAGGCCTAAGAAGAAAACGCACATGCCACTGTTCCAGCGGCGCCGCCCCCACGGAAGCGGCTCGTCTCCTCTTGGCTCGGACGGTTCCTCGTCGCCACGTTTGGACGGCCCGGGGTCAGGAACCCATTGGAAGGGCCCCTCCTGGTCGTCGCACAAGTCGCTGCACTGCCATTCCGCCTTCATGGCCAGGATGAGACCAGCAGGGGGGCGAGCTGGCTTGATCCATGCGCCGTCTCGCTTCTTCGGCCCGAGCCGCATAGTCGCTGCAAAGCGCGCGCGCGCTGCGTGGCTTCTGTCGTGCGCCTCCCCCTCCGCGCATTGTTGGCCTCGTCCTGAAGTCGACGCTGTCGACGCCGCTGGCATTGCCGAGGGGCCCTTTTCAGCTGTTCGACAACAGGGACAACTGCTCGCCGATCGCATGGGCCTCCTCCGCGCTGCCCTGGCACTTGCCCTCCCGCACCTGCAACCTTCGGCGAAGTGGCTCCCGGCGTTCCTCGCAAGCGCAAGCAGTGCTTAGCGCGCCCCTCGCACGGTGCTGGGCGGGTAGCCCTCGGTGGAAAAAAACGCCCCCACAGCCTGCACCACGCGCCTCTCGACCGACTCGAAGATCTCGTCGGGCGAAGCGCTGTCACATGCTTGCATGGACCTGTGCGCTGGGGCCCTTGGCGGCGCCTCCGGCGCCGCCCTTGGCGCGCTCTGCGCGCCAGGGAGGGGGTTGCTGCACCGATCCACGACATCTGGATGCATCTCAGCTCGCTGCGATACTTGCGCGCGTTACACTGGCTAGATTTTGCGGCACGCCGCGGCGTTTGGCCGCGAAGGAAAAACCGATTGTCTAGACGAGTCCAGCCCGGGAGCAATGCCGGAACGGACGAGGCAGTCTCACCAAGTAGTCGCACTTGTGCGTGCCCTTCCTCAGAGCCACCACGAGGGCGTCACAATCCAATTCAGCTGGCAAACGAGGTGGCAGGAAGGAAACGTATTTCGTATATTCCTTTTACGCACACAATCGGTGAGTGATCCCGCGGAGCTGCGCATCGTTGCAGTTGAAGCTTCGCCCCAACGCGCGGGCTGTTCCACCTGAGTAGACCGATGGCTTCATATCAACAGGATAGCTTGTACAGTCAACCCTGGAGCTCTTCGTAGCTCCGAAGAATCTCGGCGAGCTCATGCCTCCGATCGCGCTGCCTGCCACCAAACGCTGTTCCGCCAGTAATGGACCAAAACTTCTGCCAGCTCCGTTTTCAATCCTTTCCGAACTCGGCACTCCAGTGGCCGCTGATCCCAAGCACGCGATGCCTCCACTTTTTTCCTGGGGCTCCATTCCAGAATTCAGATCTTAATATATATATATATATATATATATATATATATATTGAGTAGAACGTGTCGGTAGTTCCAGAAAGATGTTGTGTGGCTGATATCGTAGCACTCGAAGTGTGTTCAAGTAGGCTCGTTTCTATGTTCATGTACTGCCTCGTGGCCGACATGCACTGTGAACATTTCCATGTCTTGTCGGCAGCACTTGGCCCGAACTGCAACAGCTTGTCCCCGCGCTGTTTCTGGTGAGCTCCCGATGGTCACAGACTGGTGCTCCG